CCCATTGAAAATGGGAAATCAGGGTATAATGTTTTTGTGAAAAAGTATGTAACAGACAGAAGAAATCAGCGCAGCCCCATAAAGTATATATATTCTTGATCAGGACGAAAAGTTGAGTCGATATAACCCTGTCCGTCTGTCGGTATGGACGCCGAGATCTCAGAAGATATTAGAGCTATTTTGTATGCATACTCGTGTAAGCGCAGTACAAATTCATCATATTTTTTTTGATAACTCATCCCATAACCTTTTATCGAGAATAATCATAAAATTGATTTTGTTTTTTGAGCCGCATTGGAATACTATTAGACTTGGAGATTTCAGATTTATTGTGTATATACATATGATGAATACCCAGATTTTGTAATTTAAAGATTTTTTGGAATGTACGCACATGTTTACCATATGATTATGCTTTGAAAGTTTCGTTAAGATTGTATCTACAAAAGCAAATGTTTAACACGTAAATCCTCATAATATGACCCACACTGCAAATCAGCCCAAGCGTGAGTGTGGATGCATGTCTATGTATGTGTGCGTGCATAAAAGAAGTGCAGAATTATTAGATTATTATTAATAATTATTAATTATTATTATTATTATCAGGGTATCTCCTAGACGAGTAGTCTCGACTAGAGCTCTCTTACTTGTTTTATTTCTATATTTATCCAATATGATATTTATTCAATAAAGAAATATTTGTTACTTTTAGTGCGTTTTTTTACATAATTTGTAATCTAGCCTACTATTCCAGCAATTTTTTTTTTAAATATTAGCCTGTTTTAGTCTATCTATCTATCTTGTATATGTAAATGTATGTGTGAAATAAAACGTACGAGATTGTTGTGGGAAGGGTGCTCGTCAGTGCATAACGGTGGGCTCATTGCTGAGCAGCTGCTCGCAGATGTCGACGGCTCGAGTGTAGCAGGACTCGGTGGACATGAAGAGCTCGCCAGCCTGGAGCGTGAGCAGCACGCAATTGCGGCCCATGCCCGAGGTGGGCTCGCCCGCCAGCCAGTTAGTGTAGTTGATGCTGCGGGCCCGCCCGAAGTAGTTCCAATAGAATTGCAGGTCTCCGGGCCAGCGATGGCCGGCGCTCCAGAAGCGGGTGCCATTCCGGTAGCCACTCGCATAGAGGTGCTCGGCCAGGACGCGCATCTCGGCGTCGCTGTCGAGGCAAACGCGCGACGTACGCTTGTCCTGGTAGCAGAAGTTGCTGAACGAGCTGGCCTGAACGGATAGCGGACTCAGTTAGCCAGAGCTAGAGCGAGGATCTGCAGCTACTCACCAGCGGCTCTTCGTCGGCTATGAAGTAGCAGTAATCGTTCTGCACCTTCTCGTAGGGCACCTTGCAGCGCATTCCATACGCCAGCTGCAGCCCTAGTAGCAGTCCAATGCTCAGCCAGAGAGCCGTCCATCGGCCTCCCAATCTATACCATCTATTTGGCATTGCGGTCTATAGCGAACTGTAGGCCAACTAACGGGCCTGATAACACACAGGGAAAGTGCTATCTCCTTCTCACCTACAAGCTGTCTCTCTCTCTCTTATTCTCTCTTTCTCTAATCAATCTACTTGGTATTGCGCTCTAAGTGCTGAGTGAGCAGCACTCATTCGCTCTCACTCAATTATTCATTCTCTCTTTCTCTATCACACACATATAATTTTGTGATATTCCAACTGGAATTTTGTACGACCCATTCGAGCTGATACGGAATTTTAAACATAAGCAAATATTCTTGTATTAAAAAAGTCAGAACATTACTATCGAGTATTATCGACTGCAGAATACTCATTCACATCTCTTCCATCACAATTTGCTAACTTGTCACACCCTTGATTAGGGATGCCTTGATTTGCTACGCCCCCAATGGGCACATATGTATATATAGCTGCCGTATCGTTCTGTTCTCAAAGCGAGTAAATATTTCAATTTTCAACTAACATGGTTTCTGAGATACCGTTTCATAATTCCTATAATTCGTCATATTCATAAAAGGGTGTAGATGTAGGGGAATGAGTATTATAGAGTCAGTTACTCCCGTCTGCAGCGTAAATACTAATAGCAAAAATACAGCAAAAATACTAATAGAGGGGGAAGAGCATATATGTATATGTATATGAGGTCACCATGGAAAGTGATAATCTAAAATTTATATTGTATAAAATTGATAAAGAATATATTTTCATGGAGTTCATATTTAAATTATACATGAGTACGGAACTTTTGTAGAATTAAATATAATCATTATTTGTATATATTTTAAGGAATTTATATAAATGTAAATAGTTCTATTCAATCTAACTTATTCAAATTGTATATGGAACAACTAAAAGCTACAAAAATTTATACTCTGTATATATATATATATATATATATATATACATATATATATATATAAAGTAGTATAATAGTATTTGTATGAAATATAAAAATTATTAATATAAAGCATACATATATAACAATATTATTCGATATTAATTTGAATTATTAAATTAAATTTTTATATTTTATTTAGTTTATTCTATTTCAGTTTATTTCTATGTTTTGAAATTGTTATGTTATTGATAATGTATATAGAATTTATAAAGAATTAATATGATGGACTTCACAAAGAATTCGAGCGGAAGTTTTAATCACCGCTTACAATGCCAGACTACATATATATGTATATATACATACATATATTTTCATGTATATATGCATATACATATACAGTATATGTACATACATTTAAATAAATGAATCGCCTAGACAATTAAGATAATGCCCATGCGAATGTAATGTATAAGACAATAAAATGGTAATTTATGAATATAATAAGAGATTAATTAAAACGTTTCGGCGAAGGTTTTCGAATTACAAATTTGTTAATGAGAGTTTGGACTTCTGATAAAATAACTTAAAATTGTATTGTCTATAATTTAAAGTGGCGCAAATCAGGTAACACATCATATTTGTTTATTAGTTTTTAAATGATAAACACGCTTAGGAATTTCATACATAAGCAAAAGTCGTTACCTCAATACATGTATTACATATTTTTAATAAAAAAAGTTTATGTTACGAGTACTAGACAGGAATAATTTGATTTCATGTATATAATTCCGTTTAGTAAATAATCAATCAGAATGATCGAGTCAGTTTCTAGTGTCAATAATAAATCTTCTTATCTTGAGAGGAAACTAGTCTCATCTAATCAATTATACACATATATGTGGTGTAAGCAATAAATTTGTTTGCCGATGCTTAATTCGATTGAGAATTCTTACCCGTTCAAATACACATACATATATTATAAATCATCGGTAAACAGAATCCACAGACCTGTCCATTTGCCCCTACTTTCAGAAAACTGTACTACGCTCTATAACGAGTGTGAGTTGAAAAATGTTTAACACCAGATGGCGCACGTTATTTGGTATTCTCTCGTTTTCTCTTGTTCGCCTCCACACTGTTAAAACGAACGGGCGATAACAGAGTGATGTACTGTTTTGCTGCAACAGTTAACAGTATCAAAACGGGGTCCATCATTTTCGAAATTAAATGTTTATCTTAAATAAAAATGAAAACTGCCATAGCCACACGTTTTACAATTATTTATTTGCAGGCTATCAATTTTATGAGAATAATGATATACACATTTTCTCTTAAGGTGAAGTTACATTCGTGTTTAACTGCTGCCCGCCAAAGAAAAAACAGCTGTTTTAACAGTCTGCTAGCACACAATTAACATTTTATGTAGATATCTCTGTTAGCTGGGAAATTTTGCATTAACAGGCCTGTTATTCATGATTTTTGTGTTGAAGCGTGTGGATGTTGCGGCCGGTAAATGCTGAACAAAAAACGAGAAAACAGACTAAAGTTGTGTGCGAATTTGTGTTTAATAATTAGTTAATATTGTGTGCCAAGTGCTAAAATGCTTTAGCCACTCAGGTGCTGACTATTTGGTTCTTTTTTCGGTTGCGTGTGCGGCATCCCTGTTATTCCACTGCGCTGTTCTCTGTTCGCTGTTTTCTCTGCGCGTGTGCTTTGCCATCGCGTTCGCTATCTCGATTGTTTACGAATTTGTGTGCGTGGATAAATGTGCAAAAACTAGCGGAAAACTACAATATATTGAATGAAAATGCCAATGAAAGGCCGTGAAATCACATCGAACGTAACAAAATCAAATAACAACAAAATGGTGCTCGCTTTGCTTGCGCTAGCTGCGCTGCTGCAACTAAACGGCGGCAGCGGCGTCGCAGCGCATTTGAACGTGTTTCTGAATCCAGAGGAGGTGATGCGATTGCTTGGTGAGTTCTCTTCCGAAGTTTACCCATTAAGTCGCGCCCTTTGTTATTGATTTCTCCACCTCAACGACAACAATAACAATAGTGCAAAGCAATTGAGCAATTAGTGACGTTCCATTTGTGTCAACCAATTATGCGGCAGCTTTAGTTTTCAACAATTTTCATTCACTGGAAACAGAAACTGAAATGCTTTTTGAAAATATGTTGATTTGTTTGCTTTGGATTAATTTTAGACCCTCGCTCACTCCTCTCGTTCTTTCTCATTCTCTCTCTCACTCTTTCTCTTATGCTCGAGCGTTCTCTTTCTCAGCTACGCATGCCGCTGCAGGTGTTGTTAAACAGTTAAACAAATAAACAAACAACAAGCAAAAGTAAATGCAAAAGCAACAGCAACAACAACAAAACGGTTTCTTCTATGTACATACATAACTTTCAGTTGGTTCGTTAAGAAATTTTACGCTTCGTAAAAAGAAGCATCAACAACAACAACAACAGCAACAACAATTTACAAGCAGCATTAAATTTATTTCACTGCCAGAGAATATTTTTGAATATTTCTGGGAATTGAAATTCCAATACAAAAAAAAACAAACAGACACACATATATATAAATACATATGCACATATAAGAGACACGCAAACGAGATGACAACGCAAAGGAAGCAACAACAACTGCAACGACTGCTGAAACACTGGAAGGCGAAGGCGAAGGCAAAGGCAAGGAAAAACGTGACTTGGAGCAGCCGCAAACGCAAACGGAGAGGGAGAAAGCAGCCAGAACACAGGCATCTTCGTCAGCTGTGCGTGTGTGTGCTTGGGCTAGTCGTGCTGGTGCGCACAGTGGGCAAGAAGGAAATATATGTTATATATACATATATGTGAATATATAAAACATTCCATATAATTTGTGATCTCAGGGTAATGTCATGGTGTTGATACATAACCTATATGTTTTGAATAGATATATATTATATATAATTATATTTAATATTTATATATTGTGTGTAAGATACGCCTGTATTCCATATACAATATATCACATCGGTTATTACTCATTGTGTTTTGGCCTTATGCTCGTGTGCCTGAGCCCACTGTGCGACGCCTGTCGCTTGCTTTGGCACTCGTATTTTTGGCAAGTCAACAACTGCTGCCCGCCCACTGCATGGGCCTCGCCTGTTGTTGCTGGTGCTGTTGTTGCTTGGCTGCTGCCTGCTTGTTAAGTTTGCATAGAGTTTTTTTTCCACTTGCCATGTGTGGGAGCTGCATTTTTTTCTGCCACTGACGACGACGACGACGACGACGACGACGACAACGACGACAACGACGATGCGCATAATTTGCGTATGCATTTTGAATTTTGGGGCGTGAAATCAAATATGCAAAATATCGTGTGTTTGGATTTGGATTGGGATTTGGATTTGGATGGCGAACAGTTGGGTGTGGGGTCCGTGGCCGCAGTGGGCGCTAGAGTAAGCGCATTCCGTGTTCGCCCATTCGGCCATTTGGCTGCAGCTTAAGCAACTGGGCGACTAATTAAGACTAAGCTGAAAAGTTTGCAGACTGGACAAATGCTCTGCCCCTCTCGCGTTTTCTGCCTCTGTTTTCCCCTCTCTTTTGATATATGCGTGCAATAAAGAGAAGCGCTGCGCCATAAATCAATTAAGCAGCATAATTTGCATTTGATTTGTGAGGCTTTTGGCAAAAAGGCGTTGGCCAAAGCCCAGTTGAAGCCCATTCCAGACTTGTATACATATAACAAATTTTAATTTTGATTTTTTATTTATATTTTCCCATTGCATTTTTTATGATTAAACAACGGGAGACTCATCCCCGCAGAGAGCCGACAGTTGCTTCGGTTTCATTTTTTAAGCCTTTAGTCATAAAAGCGGGCATATGAAATATAATCGGCCAGAGCCGGGCCGGGTATACACGATCCGATCGATCTGGCTGGCTCTGTCTGTCAGTTGAGTAATATATTTTTTATTTCCCTGCCCACAACTCCCCGAATAAGTTTTATGTGATTTGCTTTGCTGCTGTGACACGCGCTACATTTTAAAATGCCTTTTGGCCGGGGCATTTGATTTAAATTGAATTTTAATGCCATTTTATTTTGAACGTTTTCGACAATTCTCGTAGTTTTTCCTATTGACAAGTTTTTTCTTTTTACGACTTTAACGCTTCGGAATTTTCTTTGTCTATCTCAAATGATTTTTATGTGCCCATTGTTCGGTGTTAATTTTTTGGGTGCTTTGCTTTAATTTAATGGCCTATTTGTTGTTGTTGTTGTATGTGAGTTAATCATAGATTTTAGAGCTTACAATGCATGTTAATGAGGCCGCATTGTAAAGTTCATTGTATGTCAAGCCCTGCAGATAGTAAGCTTTTCAAGCCCACAGTCTCTCTGTCTCTTTCATTCTCTCTCTCTCTCTCTCGCTCTCTTTAACTCACTCTATCTCTGTCTCTCGCACTTTCTATCTCTTTCTTAGTCAACATACAGTTGCAGATTGCAAGATTTTCATTGTTTTGCTTATTTTAATCCCTATTTCTCAAGCTTTTCCTTATTCTCTGTCTCTCTTTCTCTACACTCATCGATTTGTTCCTCTTTCTTTGTATTTGTATGGATGTCTTATTCTCTTTCCTTCCTTGTCTCGTGATATTTCTCTCCTCACTTTTATCTATTTCTCTTCTTTCTTTCAATCTAGTACTCAACGTCTATGTCTCCCTCAGTCTCTCTCCCCCATTATTTCTTCTTTCCCACTCTACTTTTTTCTCTTTCACTCTTCCTCCGGCTCTCTTTCCCTCTATTCTCTCCTTCAGTTCAGTTCCAACTGATTCCCAATGATGCGTTGCATGTTCGCTTGTTGCTGGTGTTAATAGCGACACGCCTACAGAGTCACGCCCACAGTTTGAGTTGGCGCAATGATCGATTGGGGAGCAGCTGCTAAACATCCATGACAACAACAACAACAATGATCAACAATAAGCTAAAAATCGTTTGCGAATCAGCAGCACAAAAGATAACAATAGCACGAATGTGTTGAATTTACCACCAACTGTGTTAAATAAATTAAGCCCAGACGAATGTGCCCCCTTCGCCCTGAAACGAGACGTGGCTTAAATACAAAAAAAAACTATACGCTTTTGGCCAATTTCCAATATCCAATAAATACGCTTTGCATAAGTGCTATAAGTCTGAGCAGCTTATGAGGCAGGCGAGCCTCGGGTATCTGAGAGATACACAAAGACGGCAGCTGTTTGGTGCTACTGTGGCCACATTTAGCACCTCCTAGGTAACCGGAGTATCTGCCAGCATCCAGTTGTCCGCCTGGCCATAACAAGCATGCAAGAAGAAGCGCTACATTATCGACTCTCGACACTCGACACTCGAGTCTCGTGTCTTGGGTTTATGGCTTGTTCTGCGCTTTGCTTGCCAAGATCTTGGCTGCCGATAGCGTTGGCAACAGCTTCTCCATCTGCTTGGACTTGTTGTGCTAAATGCCTTCCACGAACCGCATTCGTGTTCGCGTTCTCTGGGGGCCAAAGTTGTCTTAACGGTTTGCGCTGAGCCGTTGCCAGTTCGCCTTACTCGTTGCTGTCTGTTTCTCCTTCTCTTTCTCTTCTGTTGCTGCAGCTTGTGGCATGATCTATATTTTAATTGGTTTGTCTGCTGGCAAGCACAAGGCTAAAAGAACCATCGAGCTGCGCGCATAATCAGCTTCATTAACCATTAGCCATCAGCCGTTAGCTAATGAAGCTATATAGAAGTGCGATAAGCTACTCGACTGGACTCGACTCGACGCGCATTGTAATCATGCCCAGCCCTTTGCTATGATGTGAGACAATTAGCGGCTCGTCTGCTGGGCCATATCTTTCAGCAGGTGCCAAAACAGCAGCCATAATATTCACCTAGTTCCCAATCGAAATGGCACTGAGGCATGAACAAAATCTCAAGATGATTCACTCGAGTTCATTCAAGAAAGTACGAAAAAGAATTCAAAAAGAATATTAAGAAATCGTTTTCTAGCATTCATTGATTTTGCTTATAGCATAAGTTTCATAGAAATATGTATACATATAATGTAAAATAATATAAATATATATGTATATATAAATTAAAAAAAAATACTTTTATGTATATATACATCTAACAATAATTTTATTGCTATATTCCAAATACTCTTCTTAATTATTTCTATGTATATTTGATATTCGATTGAAAACATTTGACTTTTGCGTATTTTGATTCATTTTTCTATTCACATCCGCTGATGGTAATGTGAGCTATTAATTAAATCAGAATTGATAAGCATCTATCTCGCTGCTGTTCACTTGACTTGCGATCAGTGAAGCGAACAGATTAGTCGCCCTTGGCGAGGGTCTACATGTCGTCCCATTCGGGGACTTCATTTGTTTTTCTGTTTTGTGCTTTTAGTTGTGGCCTCGAATTCGTTATCGATTACAGTTTGATGGGCGACTGACAGGTCACACAGTGTCACAGAGTCGAGTGTTACTAGCTGACATTGAGATCTTTAACTTGTTTGCTCTTCTTGGTATTGCCATCTCCATCTATCTCTCTCTCTCAACGGGCAATGTGTTAGCCCTGTCGTGTTGGCCAGAAGACATCATAAATTTGGCTTAGAGGTATCTCATTCAATCTATCACCTCTGCTGTCGTATCTTACTGTAGCTACCTCTTTATCTCTCTCCCTGTCTTTGTTTCCTGATTAAAACTCTTTTCTTTTGTTGTTTTCATTTAGTATAGCTTCTCTCTCTCTCATGTCCTATCGATTTTCATATTGCTCCATCTCCGGTCATCTGCTCTCTCTCTCTCTGTCATCTCATTTTCTACTCTCTCTCTATTTCTTTCGTCCTTCTTACCTTCTCCATCTGTCATCATATCTTTTGCTCGATCGCCCAATGTTGCTCTTACAATGTTTCTCTCGCTTCTCTTTTTCCGCTATCATCTTTCTCCTCTCTCTTTCTCTTTGTCACCTTTGTTTGTAG